ATAATGTTGTCTGTCAGGAGAGTCGGTTGGAAATGCCCTAATACTCGGATAAAATAAGTGACTGCAATGCTAAAGGTCCAAACAAATTTCATCTTTGAACTAGCCGCAGTGAGATGATCCGAGGAAGTGATGCTTGTTATATTTAAGTTTGCACAGGTGTGTGCACTCAAGTTCGTTCAGAGATCAAATTGAGCCACTCGTGTTTTCTCAACCGTTAAGACCTGTCCGCCAGTTACGACTTCCTCTCAAAACAACACTGGTCAAAGCGTTAATTGCGACCGGCTATTAGGGAGCTCAAGCAACGACGACGGCAAGGAGCACGTCAAAAAAGCAAATAGGTTTAGGTTAGAGAAAACAACAGTTCGCTTTTTTGTACATTTCTTTGCCGTCAGTGTACGACTGCGAGGTAAAAGTGCCTAATTTCACATTTTGGGGAGGACGTGAACATTTCTTTAACCTTTCCTTAATTTCTGCACAGTCTATTAGAGTTTAATTCCAGAAACATTTGCTAACAACGAATTGAACAAGATGGAATAAGCGCGATAAAGTTTGAAGCGGCGCGAATTCACTTTTTAAGTGACTTGGCTATTAAATGACTGTATGCAACATGAAGTCAAGAGTGACGCGATTTTGTTTCCAAGCAACAAGAATGACGTCAAAATCCGAACAAAACCAATTTTCTGCTGGGTGACACAAACTTCATCATCGCCTTCCTTTGGAAAAAAATATAAGTGCAAAACAACAGACTCTGGCAATTGCTCTGCTCGCTCGCCTAGGTGGCTTCTCTTAGAGGTAGTTTTTTTACCAAAAAAATAGATTTGTGCAACAGCGTCTTGTTTTAGGTTTTGAATAGTCCCTGCCACAACAAGACTCAGTTAAACATCTAAACAAAACTGAACAAGCCACTCTATCAAATTTGTTTTGTTTCGTTCGACGGGGCAGCTGAAACTATATGCATCAATAAATTATCCAATTTGCACAGAGCTCCTCCCTTCTATATACTTTTCTATCCGATCTATCCGAGTTTTTTTCCATAAATTTCCGTCTGTAACGATACTATACCAGTCAGAAAAAAAAACAGGTGCCAAAAGCACTGAGATAAGCTTGTTTTTTAGAGCATGCCCAGTGTTTAAATTCTTGTATAAAGCGTTCTTTGGGTAAAGCAAAGACCGCAGAGTGGGAAACCACAACAGAAACATTGAAAGAACTTTTAAAACATAAACAACTCTTCAGGGGGCATAACTTCGCATGTATTTTCTCTAAACTCCCACGACCTTAAACCTAAACCTAAAAATAAGCGTATGCCAGTACAAAACGTAAAATACTGGTAAGAACGTTAACTCAAATATAGTACATTAACTTTTATAACTTTTTAGTACAACTTTTAAATATCAACTTATGAGTGAAGAACTCTATTTTTCTTGCTTCTATTCAGAAACATTTTTCTCACAACCAGCGTTCACTTCACGGCAATATTCCCACGTTTTGTGTCTTACAATGACAAATTATGGTTTGACTTTTTGATTGAACGCTCTTTAATTGTGGTTATCGTATGCCGATTTTTCCCGTAGGAAAAATGTAGAAAATTTGTACCTTGGCCCCAACAAAGGGCATCGTTATTTCTTGCTTTTCCCGCCAAAAACTACTGTTTATTTTGTTTGCGCATGCTTTATTTCAGTCAGTTGAGATCATCACCGTCTTATTTTTCAAGAGCACCTTGCAATTTTAACTACAAGTACTGACATCCCATCAAATACAGTCTAAGTAAGTGGTGTTCTCGGCTTTACCCCGCATTGTCTGGGTCTAAAGACGAGTAAGATTTAGGCCTTTATACTAGTCAACATGAAGCAAATGCTCCATGCAGCGTTCTTTTGTACTTTTGTGATTATCCTAAGGAGTTCATAGAAAAAGAACAATGACGGCAAACTTTTTTTCTTCGTAGTATATCGGTAAAGAGTTCTAAAAGGAAAGAAGTGAATATTAATGGACGAAAAAGACAAAGTGTAAGAAAAACTGAATATCAAATTGCCGAATCTTGATGAGGTCTTAGTGAGTAGGAAAACTGAAAGTAGTTTACTTAGGGGTGCTGTTTGTGAAAACATCTTTTACAAGGTGAATGTACCTATTATCAGAAGGTAAAGGAAGATATGAACAATCACTGAATTTTGGAAAAATTGTGTCTAAGCATTGAAGCTCACAAGTGTCACGTAAATTTTGAAGTTACAAACAAAGCTCACCCGCTGAAGATGGATTACTACTCGCCTACGAGCGGCGGATGTAAAGCACGAGGAAAGAACAAACCTCGCACCGCGTGCAAGAATAGGAAGGAACCTCCAACCGCGCGCGCCTTACGCTACACGCTCCACACGCGCGTTAGCTTTAAATTAACCGCGCAACGCCACGCGCGTACTTACAAGAACGAGGGGTACCAAAGGTTAACACAACGACAAATTTCCTCAATAAATCAACTCAAACACTTTAACTGTCTGCATGCTGCTTTGCCTAAAGTGATCGGTCATACGAACGGCTAACGTTAAAAGAGATAATTGCAATTTAGTGGAAACATATGTCCTCCAAGCGGGAGGGTAGCATCAAGTCCCTGGGGCGAAAGATTAAACAAAGAAGTCAACGAGACAGCAAACAGGCGTTCAGACAAGGTTCATGAGCAAGTTATTAGATGGGCAGCCAAAGTCTAAACAATTCTGTTTCCTATTCTTAAATGCCATCGAACTAGAACAAAGCTGCAGCCATTTTAACTCCCGCTGGTGTGAATTGCACCACGTTCTATCAGAAAGGGACCGTAAACGAAGAATCATAAATACATGTTCTGATAAAATGTGCAACAAAAATAATCTCTGAGGAAATTGGCTTAAAGCAACAGCTTCATGCTTGATGAGATGGATCTTTTTGTCGACAGGGCAACTCTATACAATGCACCGTAGGCACCACTGTTTAATACTTAAGCCCACGTGTAGAATGGTTCATCAATAACGGCTTTACTTAAAAAGACAATCACTTGAATAAACAGATCAAGACTAGCATCCTTTGTTCATTTTGCAAAATTTTAATTTTTTTCAACTAGTGTCTTTAATATAGAACGCATACTGAGTTAATACGTCGAATTATTCTAGTCGCTATACCAACCAAGTCAATTCAATAATGCCACACCCAATTGCTTAAAGTTATCTCACCGGCTAATAATTCCTAACAGTATTTCTTGGGACTAAAATGCACGCCCTGGCAGCAACGTCACATTTACCTAAGCTGTACTTTGCCCAGAGTTGTTAATTAAGTTACCAAACTCTAGATTAATCTGGTTATAAATCTTTTGTTATGTATCACTCAAAAGCCGTTTGCAAAAAGGAAAATTAATTGTCCTAAAGGCTCAACGCCAAGGTATTCACATGTTTTAATGAATTAACCCTTCAATCCCCTACATCTACATACAAATTCTTCAGACTGGTCTCCATACATTTCCTTACACAATTAGCTGAGAGAATTTCATAAAGAGACATTTTCTCTTAGGTGATTATTTCATTAATTCTCATAACTTTTACTCTTGATTATGTATTTATACTGTGTGGAGAAAATTTATGTTGATCACTTTTGGGACTTAACTGATAACAATATTCCTGAAGACTGATATTTGTACAAGGTGAAATATTTATGGATGTTTACTTCAGGCGAGCAAATTTCATCACTAGGCCTCGACTGTGAACAAAATTCTTTGCATTTGCACTTTGTGTATGAGTATTTTTTAACTGTAAATTACACTGGGAATTAATTTCTGCAAAACTTTACAATTTCAACACGAGGCTTGGTGGCGAATTTTGCTAGTTTAACGTCAACATGCATAAGGGCAATTCAAAACTGACCACTCGCTGTAGTCCCAGCGTTGTCTTTTAAGAGACGACTGATTATCTCAGTTGGTTGGGTACCAAACTTAGGAGCGGTAGAATCCAGGCCAGTCCAACACTTACGGTTCAATAATAGCAATAAAGAATGACGTGTCTTTGGGTCGTCTTTGCCCTAGCCTCGAGGCCATAAGAACGTCTGCTTCAGAGGCTGCCTTTGCCCTGACAGACCTTCTAGTTCTCTGGTATAAGGAAGTAAAACCGTCATCTCCCTCTTGTGGGGTGTAAGCGAACCACTAGGAACGAAATAACATCTGGAATTGACCCCATCCCTCCACCACTCCCACCCCCACCCTCCGGTGTCTTCAGATCTGTCAAGGGTTGTGGTAATGGTCAGGGAGGGTACCACCTATGCTCTCGTTCGCGTCCATTTTCATTGGGCAGTTGTGTGCCCTATATTGCTGAAAACCCAAACCAAGTTGTTTAATTTACACGTTACGTGTCGTATGGCATCGTCGTCTGTATATCCGTACGAAGAGTACCTGCTACCGTTTCATTCTATGCAGTGTCGTTCCCTCCTTTCAAACTACACTTTCCTTCCATACTTTAACATAACATACATATATGCTACTAACTTTTGACGTTTAAAGTATTTAATCGGAAGTGATATAGACGTCGACAACAAACTAGTACTCCATAAGCGGTTTAACTGGGGGCTTCGTTCAGACAAGCTTAAGGGCTTCGCTGGTGAAATCCTCTTTTTTCAGAAAAACTCCGCTACTACTTCCTCAAAGTGAATCGAAGCAAGTACAATGTGAGGTCAAAACGTTTGGTAAAACAAGTCTCATTTATTTACGTAAACTTAGTGAAAGTAAGTGGAAGTTAGTAGTGGTAGTAGCAACAGTAGTGGCCGTGGTAGTGGCAGAGGCAGTGTGTGTGGTGGTGATAGTGGAAATGGTAGTTGCAGTGTTAGAGGTGGTTGTAGTGGTAGTGTTATTGGTGCTGGCAGTGGCAGTGCAGTTGCTGGTGGCACTGACAGTGTTAGTCAGTGGTGGTGGTAGTGGTAGTGACAGTGCTAGTGCTAGTGCTGGTGGCACTGGCAGTGTTAGTCAGAGGTGGTGGTAGTGGCAGTGGCAGCATTAGTCAGTGGTGGTGGTGGTGGTAGTGGCAGTGGTAGTGGTAGTAGCAGTGTTAGTGGTAGTGGCAGTGGCAGTGGTAGAACTGGTGGCAGTGACAGTGTTAGTGGTGGTGGTAGTGGCAGTTAGAAGTGGTGAGAGTGGCAATGGCAGTGGCAGTGCTAGAGGTGGTGTTAGTGAAAGTGGCAGTATAGCTGGTAATGGCAGTGGCAATGTCAGAGGTGTTGATAGTGGTAGTGGCAGTGTAAGTGGGGCTGGTAATGTCAATGGCACTATTGGTGGTAGCGGCAGGTGCAGTGTTAGTGGTGGTGGTAGTGGTAGTGGCAGTGGCAGTGGTAGTTGTAGTGGTAGTGGCAGTGTTAGTGGTGGTGGTAGTGGCAGTTAGAAGTGGTGAGAGTGGCAATGGCAGTGGTAGTGCTAGAGGTGGTGTTAGTGAAAGTGGCAGTATATCTGGTAATGGCAGTGGCAATGTCAGAGGTGGTGATAGTGGTAGTGGCAGTGTAAGTGGGGCTGGTAATGTCAATGGCACTATTGGTAGTAGCGGCAGGCGCAGTGTTTGTGGTGATGGTAGTGACAGTGGCAGTTGTGATAGTAGTAGTAGTTATAAAAGCAGTGATAGTGGCAGTGGTAGTGGTGGTGCTAGCGGTGGTGGGGGTGGTAGTGTCAGTGTTAGCCGGTGGTAATCATCGGGTAAACAGCCGACATTTGGCGACCCTACCAATGGTTTCCCCGCCAAATGACGTCTGAGAAACTAGCGCAGAAATTCCATATTGATGACGCGTCACTACCCAGATCTGGGTAGTGACGCGTCATCAGTATGGAATTTCTGCGCTAGTTTCTCAGACGTTATTTGGCCGTGAAACCAGTGGTAGCGTCGCCAAATGTCGGCTGTTTCCTCGGGCTACATCGGGTAGAGGTAGCTGCAGTGTTCGAGTTAGTTGTAATGGTAGGGGTAATGGTTGTGGTGGCCAGTGGTAGTGGTTGTGGTAGTGATAGTGGTAGTGGGAATGCCAGTGGCAGTGGTTGTGATAGTGATGGTGGCAGTGACACTGACAGTGGTAGTGGTCGTTTTAGTGGTAGTGGTAGTGGTAGCAGTAGGGATAGGAGTAGGGGTAGTGGCAATGTTAGCGTTACGCTCGCCTCCGATCTGTATGAGCTTTACAATGGCTCAACTCCGCTTTGTCTAGTACAAAATCGTTGACAGCGACAAAGACACAGAGAAATGGTGGACAGTGTACAGTCTAAAGGAACCCCGGTCAATCCCTAATTATCAAACCTCTAGTTTATGGCGGATCATGAAACCTCCTTGCCAGCAAGTCTTCTTTTCAGGTGTCCCAAAAGTTCTTTCCTCTAATTTCATGCACTTTAACTTTCGATCAAAACTTTATTTTTACATGAAATTTCTAGAAGGTGTTTATTTCTCTATCGAGTACATGTAATTCAGAATTTCAGTAAATGTCATGCCTTTTTGCTTTTTTTTTTAACACATTCTGCAGCCGTTGCAGCATGGTGCGGGATATAGCGTGTAGACCCACAGGTGATCCACTTTGAGCTTTTTTATCACCTGGTGCGCAGGAGCCAGTTCGACGCCAAAACAATATTTGTTTAGTTTAGGCAGCTGAAAAAAAATATATATTTTGGGCATTCATCCAAAAAAGGTAATCATCCCGGCCCCCTTTCACAGAAAGGCATTTGCACTTCTTTACAAATCGGAGATGAGCTGGAAGTTACTTGGCAGACTAAGCAGATTGTATTTTTCCGCCATCTCAGGGACATCTAACTTTAAACATTCGCTTTTCATGACTCTTTCTGGACTTAGCTTGCTAACTATATAAGAGCGTCCTCGTCGAGTCTCCTATTTTGTATCTATCCTTCTTTAAAACTATTTTAGCTGCTTTATTCGAGACTTTTGGTCTTCCCCTTCGTTTCTTGCCCTCAAAACCTTCATTTCTGCACGATCACTTTACCACCCAACATTCGGATTTTTCCAGTTTTTTTGCAGTTTCTACAACAGATAAGCCAGTAAATCGAAGTATACATGCTTATTCTCTTACGTACCTTAAAGTTTTTGCGTTAAGGGGGTTTATCTTTCGTGATATTCACAAAAAAAAAAACAAGGAAGGAGTTCGAGCAATTCGGGCTATAAAATAGAAAAAATTATGTGGCTGGAAAATATACTCGCGCACGCGCACCTTTGGCGTAGATATACACAAATCGAATATTCGAGTCAAAAGATGGCACAACAGGTGTGAAAACAGTGAATAAGATTGAAAGACACACGCTTTGTTTAAATGATTTGCTTACCAAGTCCAATCGTACTGAAATACAGACTTATAAAGTAGAGGAACGAACGTTTGGGACACCCTGTATTGTAGAAAAACGCAAAACCCAGACAACACTGCTCAGTAAAACTCCAAAAATGACAAATCGTTTGTCGATACGCCTATATTTTAGCCATGGCACATGTTATCTTGCAACTCAAATATGGCCCTAATTTTACGAGCCCAGGTCGAATGGTTGGTCTCAGTAAATCGCACAAATATTCCACAGCTCAAGCGCGTTCTGGCGTCCAAGCTATAGTTATCGGAAAGTCATATTTTCTACTCTTCTTGAAAGAGCTCGTAAGATTTTTTTCCGACTCGTTCAGGAGAAATCACTCTTGATTATTTCATCTTTGCTATTTCCAACATTCTTATCTTTTGCTTCATATTGACTAGATGAAATCTATGTGTTCTACGAGGCCGGCTCTTAAATACTTGAGACTGATAGCTTCGGCTTGTATTGTTGTGATAGGTGTTGCAAATGGGAAGTTATAAACATAACATTAACATTATCAGCAACGGCTACAGTTTCTTTGATTAGTTTCTTTAAATCGAGATATTTCTGATAAACAATTTCTGCAGTTTATTAATAAATAATATAAGTAATATAACAGAAGCAGCAGCAGAAGTGGCTGGGGCTATGAACGTTGTTGTTTAAGTAGTTCTTGTAGTAGCCGCGTCGTTCACTCAGGTAAATTTTGGGCAGTTTCTGCCCATAACGGTTTGTCAAATGTTGCAGTTTAGAAAAGGCTCGTATACAAATACAAACACACTGACTCCTGCAACTAACAAATAATTCAGAACTTCCAAATAACTTAACAAGGTAAAACTGCGACCGTAGCGAGCTTCATAAGCAAGTATGATATTACACTTTGAGAACTCCACTTCGAACTGCAGCTCCACAAACGTATCTACAACAAGTTTTCAAAAAAGTAACCGCACAGTGACTATAGTTTTACACTAACGAAAAGCTTCCTACTCTGTTAAAAAATATAAAAGATCAGAGTTATCCCAAGCTTTGAGGGTAACTGATTACTAAGCACTTTGCCCCAAACGATTAATAAAAGGTCGATTTACAGAAATTGAGCCGTTTCTTCTGTAAGAAATTACCGAAATTGCAACACTAAACCCACACCTCAGCGCTAGGAACTCGAACTCGTAGTAAGAAAAACCTTTGAAACACTTGACTTACCAAGCCTTCAAAATATTTACAATTTGTTAACTTGGGCTCCTAAGAAGAGCTTAACTTTCTACTGCAAGACAAGTCAAATCTTCAGCAATAAAAAGTAAAAGCTGTACAGATGAGAAAGTTAAACCTAATGTTTATTATACTCACAAGGCAATTGATGCAACACAAAGGCAATCAGACAAAACTATAGTCATTCTTATTAACTCAGTACTAACAATCGAGAAGATACGACTCGCAAATCGGATCTTAAACGCAATAGTAACATAAGGACGCAAAATGAGAGGCCGACACTTCACGAGGGTAATAGTGAGTGGAGAAGTATTCAAGATGGTTGGAGTAACATGATTTGTACAGGATACAAATCATTCTAAGGTATGGAGAAACGTGAGAAGAGAAGACTTGTGCGCTTAACGAATAGACTATAATATTGAGCGATGACCACCTCTTGGCTACAGGAAAATTAAGAGAATTAAGCAAAGAACAACAGCTTTGCAACTTCTTATGACATGGAGAGACTTGAAGATAGCGCTATAAAGTTTGTGTCACTGATGTGAAAACAAATCTCGAGCATAATACACCTGACCAATATAACGTACAAATTATAGTGTGCAGAGAAACATCGACAAGTATTTCATTTCACCGGGCAAATTAGGAAACGGCGCAAGACAGGACACTTAAACCTCGCATACAGGCCGCTAGCGTAAAGAAAAACGTCGAAAAGGTAATAAAAATACTACACGAATGACCTAAGATAAATCATTAAAAGAAGGTTTGAAAGAAAGAGGTATGACTTAAGCACTTCGACATAAATCTTTTCACAACCTATGTTTTTCTAGGCTTTCGTAATTAATGGTTCTAGGCGGTAATAACTTGTGCTACGGCGCTGAATTTTACTAACAGGAGAACACTGAGAACATTAATTATCACTGATTGGTCTTGGACACAAGCATTGACTAAGTTTTAGTTACTTACATTATTCCTTTCTTCTGTAGTAGCGAGGCAAAGTGCTTACTGCTACCTGTACAAAAGACAAACCACAATAAACTGAATGCAGTTTTCTTCTTCTTCTAAAAAGAAAACAATGGAAGTAAACGAACAATGCAATATGACAAAAGATTAGACCAAGTACGTCTTAATCAATGTGGATAATAATGCAGGCACATTTCTCCAGCATTTTTTGACAGCAAAATGCAAAATAATCGTGTCCATTATGTAACGAATAATGACACAATTACGGTGTACGTCTTTATCAGACAGGGAAAAAAAAAAGACAGAAACAAACGAGTTCATTAAAAAAGAAAGTATTTTCGAAATCCTAAACATATCCGGTGGACTTTTTTAGATGGTCGCGTATCATTTGGTACTAATTCCCTATCCCCCAATATCGTTTTTAAACATTCCTCGATGCTGAAACTATATAGCTTGCGGTTTACCGGAGTGAAAAAACAACAACTTGTTTTGACTTAGATAATGATTAGGATCAAAGCACGTCATGAGACAGCTAATAAATCAACAACTGACTCACAATCGAGAATATACATACGTTTTCCTCCTGCATCAGAAAATGACGTCACCAAACCTGCTGTCACATAATTCCTGCACGGTTTACGGCGTGTAATAAAGATACCAATGACATCTGCAAGATACACACAACTAGCCTGTCAACATTGATAGCGCTTTTCCGTTTGGGAAGACCAAATTAGTCTTACCGTCTACATTGCTTCGAAGAAATGCAATGCAATGAAATACAGAGCTTTCTATTATTTTACCATTTTACCCAGCAGAGCAGTCCCATGACAGGTTATAGACTACAAAACAGCCCGTGTTTTTGCGCAGGGCAAGAACGTTTCGCACGAGCGGTGGAACGAAAAGCCTGAGGTGAGGTAAAAAACGCAGAATGAGACGAGGTTGTAAGACTCGCGCGAAGAGACGAGTAACCAGAAAAAAACCCAAGCCTCCATCCAACATATCGAGTCGCCTCGAGGATGGAAAAAGAGGGCCACACTAATGGAGGCGAGTGCTTTCACCACTACGCCAACCTCGCTTTAACAACTGCATCGCTAAAATGGAGGTTGGGTGCCTGGAGTATCCAGGGGCTTCCACTATTGACAGCCAGCCCTTGATTGAAATAATGCGTCCATGACTGGCACAACAGCGCAGCCCAGCCATGAGCCCCAATACAAAAGGATAGGAACCGGCAGCCGTCACACTGGACAACACCAGTGTAGAAAAAAAGAAAACAGCTTCAATACCAACAAAAAAAAGCCTAGGGAGAGGAAGGGGGAAGAAAATGGCAGAAAGAACCTCATGGGCTGAAAAAAAACAGCATTAAAAAAAGAAGGAGAACGCGCCAATGAATCACATCATCGATGTAGCGAGCTACTGGGCATGCGCAAGCCAAAAGACCGCTGAGCTCAGGCACTAAAGGGGCTCTTAGTTGTTAACTCCTTTAAATGGCCTTTAATTTGTATTTGCCCGGCATTATTGATGCAATAGTTGTTCAGTACCTCAAGAGAGCTAAGCACCAGCTACGAGGACCACCAGTGGCAAGTGTTAACCTTATCAAGAAGGCACTAAACCTTGCCCACTAGATTTCCGTTGCACTAGCCTTACTTACAGTTAT